CTACAGCTTAATGTATTAGGCACTTAGAGTGAATCAAAACCTTGACATTAGTTTTTGCTTTGTTTAAGTTCAATAGGGTAGCTAAAGAAAAGTCTTAATTAGAGCTGGCAGGTGGTGTAGTGGTCAAGGTGTTGGACTCCACGTGACTGATTGCAGTCTGAGTCCTGGACCTGACAGCTTGCTTTCTTGCCTTCCCTCTCTATCTCTGGTCCAATTTAAATAAATAAAATTAATTCTTACCAAAAAAAATGTACAATATGACTTTTTTTCCTCCTACCTAAAAGCATGTGTACTCACTAGGAGAGAGACAGAGAGGGGGAAAGTTAGAAAACACCCTCCATGGGGGATGGTCATGCTCAGTCCCATCTCTTCCACTCATCCTTCCTTTCAGGATTTGGGACATGCACACACATATGCCCAGTTTGTTTTTCAAGCTCAGGTCTGGGACTCACACCACACAGTTGGCTTTTTGGGATCCAGCCACGGAACTACGGTGCTGCTGGCTGGCCCAGAGGGTTTTGTTTTGTTTGCGTTTCTTTTAGATTTTTACCATAGGGCACCTACGTTCGCTAGAGAGAGGGAGAAAGAAAGTGAGAAACCACCCCTCAAGGGAATGGCCCACCATAATCCCTTCTCTTCCATTCTCCTCCTGGGATTTTGGGCACACACACACACACTCTGGTGTGATTTTTGAGCTGCTAGGTCTAGGACTCAAACCATGGTCAGCTATGTGGGAATCCAGTGCCTCAGTTACCTTGCCACCTGCTGGCTGCAGAGGACCTGTTTTTAAACATTTGCTTCATATGTTATTGCTAATCTATATGAAAACCTGCAGAGAGGTACCATTCTGGCTATTCTAGAAGCGAGATTGAAAGTAAGTAGTTTTTGTTGTTTCCATCATTAACTTCATAGTAAGTTAAGTATGTCAATGGATGAAATTGGAGGAATCAAATAGTAGGGTACACAGAGCCTACATATTTACCTCTGTATTCTCAGCCAGTGTGCTGGGAATTGAGGACCATCAGACACACAGGAAAATAAAGTTACGGCAGCCTAGCAAGTGCACTCAGAGGTCTTTGCACAGAATTCTAAGATGCCTGAGAGGAGAAGGGAACCTACAAGGCCACTGGGATGCAAGGGGCACCCTGGGCCTTGTCCTGGTTTTGTCCATCTCCCTCTCCATAAGCGACCATTGGTGGTCTCCAGACCCGCATCCCATTGATCACACTCATCTGCTTCAACACCTTCCTTTCGAAGCTTCTAAAAGTGGCCTCTTTACTTGTCTACACCCTGGATGGACAGTGAGCCAGTTGCCAGCTGGAGTCACTTGAGGGTGTTGACCCGACACTGGTGCACCAGAGCTGAGTGTAGAGGGTGGGCTGGCTGGCTGGGAGCAGCTTCTCCTGGTTTCTGCACAGTGAGATTATTAATGTTCCCCATCGTGCCAGGGACCAGTGCTAATTTACAGCCTCCTCAGTTGTGGAAAGTTCAACAATGACTCAGGATTAAAAACATGCAGGAATCATAAAAGTAATGAAGAAGGTAGTAGATGTGAAGTGGAGACAGATGCTAGAAATACTGAATAAGGAGAGCAAACTTGAGAAGAGTGGGCTAGAGCAGCAGGCTGCTATTGCTGCCATTGGTCAGGTAAGTGGTGCGCTCCGGGCCATGGTGAGGCTTTGACCAAGGCACACATGAACAGTGTGGTTCGGGGAGACTGATGTTCTGGCAGCAGAACAAGGAGGCAGATGGTGTGAAGTGCTTATTCCTGTGTGTGCTCTGGGCTTTCCCGTGAGCACAGGTCAGAGTGAGGCTGTGTCAGCTAGCTGCACTGCAACAGAAAGTGATGACCTGCTAGCAAAGAGCTGCGGCTCTAATAATTAATTACAGAAGTTACAGTTTTATGGTAACTATTTCTAGTTCTCAGAAATGCTGTATTTGAAGTTCCAGTATTTCCTAATATAAAATCTATATACTAGGAAAATTTTGTGTTCTGTGCTTCTGTAGTAAATGCTGATACATCTATTGAATAGAAGAGATTTTCTTTTATAAAAAGACCAAGTTAACTTTGACATCTAAAGACTGTAAGGTTCCTTTTTTCTCTTGTGTTTTGTCTTTCTGAAAGTTTTTTCTTGAAGGATTATTTTATTTAATTTTATTCATCATCATCACTATAAATTTGACCAGAGAGAGAGGGAGAACGTGAGAAGGCAAGTCACCAGGTCTGGAACTCATACCACAGTTGGCCATGTGGGAGTCCAGTGCCCCTGCTGGCCCCCTGAAATTCTAAGCTGACTATACTTGCATTTTTAAGCATCATCAAAAATTTGAGCTCAAACTTTATGTGAGTAAATTTGCAAGCTACTGGTTTTCTTGAGCTATTTCATAAAGTGCTAACCATATACATTAAGATTACGTTTTTGGGGGGACCAGCAGTTGGCGTAATGGCTATGTCGCTGGACTCCCACGTAGTCGACCGCGGTTTGTGTCCCGGACCCGGTGGCTTAAAACTCACGCCGGGCGCGTGTGCGTGCGTGCCCAAGATCCCGAGAGGAGAATGGAGGAGAAGGGATTGCAGTGTGGCCATCCCCCCGGGGGGTGATTTCTCACTTTCTGTCTCGCTGTCGCTCTCTGTCTGGTGAGCGCACGTGCCCTATAGCAAAAAAAAAAAACAACTCTCAAAAAAAAGTTAAAAAAAAGATTACCTTGGGAACCAGCAGTTAGCGTAATGGCTATGTCGCTGGACTCCCACGTAGTCGACCGCGGTTTGTGTCCCGGACCCGGTGGCTTAAAACTCACGCCGGGCGCGTGTGCGTGCGTGCCCAAGATCCCGAGAGGAGAATGGAGGAGAAGGGATTGTGGCGTGTGGGGGGTGATTTCTCGCTTTCTGTCTCTATGTCTCTCTCTGTCTGTCTGGCGAGCGCACGCGCCCTATAGTGAAAAAACACCCTCTCAAAAAAAAAAAAAAAAGATTACCTTTTTTTGGCCTATAAATAATAACTTAATAACTTTATGTGTGTGTATGTATGTATAATTGCTGATCTTTAGTTGTCTTTGACTTGCAGTGCAATTAATTTCTTTTACATGAATGACCAGTCATAAGTTTTTCAAATTGTATTTTAGAGACCAAAGTTCAATTGAAAACATTTGGATTTTTTTCCTCATAACTTTGAGGGAGTGCTTTACATTTCTAACATTTAAATCTAATTTATATGACCCATGTATGCTACCATGATATTGCACTATTTTAAGTAGCTTTCTCAGGTATAGCTTTTTCAGAACAGCTCACCATTTCTTCAGTTGTTTATTTTAATTTCTGGTCTTTAAAGCATTAAAGTAGACTGGCTGTTTTAAGTGCCTCAGGTAGTGGGATCTGATACTTTAAAAAAATTTTTTTTAATAATTACTTTATTTTATTTATTTATTTTTAATTTGACAAGAGGGAGAAAGAAGGAGGTAAGGAGGGAGGGAGGGAAGAGGGAGAGAAGGAGAAGAGAGAGGGAAAGTGAGAAAGCAAGCTCCCAGGTCTGGGACTTGGACTGTGGTCAGCCCTGTAGGAGTCTAGCACCTTAACCACCATACCACCTGCTGCCCCCATTTTGATACTTTTTAAAACTGGCCCTTCTAGGGACCAGCAGGTGGCATGGTGGTTAAGGGGCTGGACACCCACATGGTTGACCATGTTTCAAGTTCTGGACCTGGCAGCTTGCTTCCTCACTTTCCCTCTCTCTAAATCAAATTTAAGGAAATAAATAAAGTAACCAATTAAAAAAAATGTCCTTCCAAAATTTTGTCTCCCTTGAAATGGCAGTGACCTCCCAGTCCGTGGCCAGGTTTGGTCATGGGGAAGCGCCGCGCTCATAGCTGTGTTCTGTCTGTTGCAGGTTGGCTAACAGTGAAAAGCAGGGTGTGCGAACACACGCCGTCTCTGTGTCAGGTAAGGGGGTCGTGGTCAGAGACCTAGCAGAGCAGGCTCCAAGGGGCAGGAAAATCGTCAGTGTTGCTTCATTTTTTTGTATTATTGTCTCATTCTAGAGCAGCTTCTAAAAATAAGATATTCTGGCTACCCAGAATTTGTATAATTTTTACATCAGAAAATAATCCCAAGTATTGCTTATAGATCTCATTTTTTAGGTAAAACATATGTGTGAAATACCAGATTATTCACAGGTTATATTGACTTGTAAGTTATGTTTCTGTTTTAATGTTACAGTAATCATATCTAGAGTGAAAAGTTTTACTTTTGAAGTTGCTGTTACAATTTGCCTTTGCAAATCAGAATTGAACATAATATAACATATTTTTAATAGGCTTTCTGAAATTCAGGAAATGTGACACATTTAAAAGTGGTTTTTGTCTTTCACAATGAACATAAAATGGTGTTTGATAGTACTTTTAAAATATATAGTTAAGATGGTGGCATGAGCATTATCTTAACTGTTCACTGGTGTGGTGAGTGTGGTGTATTCTTGGTACGTTTTCAAAATTTACATGCTTTTTTCTCCATTTAAAAATGTAGAAAAAAGAGGAAAAGGGGAAAGAGGAAGCATCTTCCATGGGCCTATCTATGTTTGATGTCTTAAAATATATACACTGTGTATTTGGACACACTTAGATACAGATCTACACACACACACACGCTCCACAGTCAGATGGAGAAGCATACATCCATCCTATACTTACAACACAGTACCTTCCTGGTAACTAATATCTGACTTTGAAAAAGACTCATTTTGTTTCATTTTATTTTGCATCAATTTTTCCCCAAATTTAGGCCTAGTTGATGACTGGATTTTTTATTATTTATTTTGGTAGTGTTCCAAAGTAAAAACATAATTGCTTCTTTTTTGTCTATTGTGTACATTCTGCATTCTGCAGCCCTTTCTTGAGAAAGGCTTACAGTGTTTGTGTGTGTGGCAGAGATACACAGGAGCAATGAATGTGTGTGACACCGTCACAGTGGTAGGCTGCGAGGTCCCGGACCCCTTCCTGGCAGAATGAAGAGAGGTTCTGAGCACAAGAGCTTATCTTCCTGAGCAGTTGGGGCTTGCCTGCGTGTTCTCCAGTAAACAGTTCATCATCCTTGCAGGCGTCCTCTACATGTTACAGAGTAGCCCCAGGTTTCCGGAGGTACGCTGCAGTGCCCAGCAGCTCAGTGCTGCACCGTGTAGTCTGGTGGGTCCAGAGGTCCAGCAGACTCCCGGACCCTAGCGGAGTGTGTCATCTAGCCTGAGAGCGAGGCCACTGCATGCCACTGCAGCAGAAGTCCAGAGGAGGGGCTGCTCTTAAGTGCCAAAGGGTGTCCTGCAGAATGTCCTGGAGAATCAGTGATGTTGAGCTTGGCTGTGTAATACATAGGCGTTGGTGGGGCCCACCTTCCTGTCAGTCTGCAAAGCATCCTTCAGGACGAGCCTGGGCATGGTGACTTCCGTCACTGCAGTGCTCACCCCACCCTCCATGGGTGCTCCGGGCTGGAGAGAGGGCTACGATATCCCACTGGCCTCAGGAGCACTGTGCCTGCCATCTGTCTTTGGATTAAAAAGTACTGACATAGATTGGGTCCCAACAGAGCCTTCAGATCTTGTTCCTTCTGTTTTGTTTGTTTTAAGGTTTTGATCATAGGGCGTGTGTGTGCACGCTGGTGAGAAAGTGACAGACACAGAGACAGGGAAAATGAGAAATCACCCCGAAGGGGGCGTGGCTACCACAGTCTTTTCTTCTCCGTTCTCCTGGGATTTGGGACACGCATATTTGCATGTCCAGTGTGGGTTTCCAGCCACAGGTTCCAGGACTCAAACCACAGTTAGCCATGCGGGAGTCCAGTGCCTAACCATCTCCCCATTTGCTGGCTTTTTGTTCCTTCTGTCTCACAAGTCTCTCTTACTCAGTGTCCTCCACTCTGCAGGGTTTCTTCCTCAGTTCCTTTCAGCTGCTGCTCATTTTTAAGCCTCTGGATTTGACCTGTCCCAGCAATCCCTCCTGTGTCTCACTGTTTACATCCTATTTCAGAAGCCCACTTAAGAAGACGAAAATCTGCCAAACTGATGAACACTCTAATAGACAGCGTGTTCTGGTCTAGTCTGTGTTCTCTGTTCTACACGGGAAATTCAGACCTGTGAGGGTTCAGGTCTTCTTACTGTACAGATAAGACTAAGTCCAGAGAGCTGAAGTAATTGGCCCAAGATTGCACAGATGATAAAAGATGAGGTCACCAGTCAAAGTCAGGAATCTGGCTTGAACCCTATCTTGGTTACACATGATTCCGCCTTCATCATTTCTTCTCAGTTGTCCCGCAGCCGTGAGTCCACACTCAGTCCTTGCTCTGTGACAGTTCTCTGTGTTCATGTAAACAGGCAGTTCTCTGGTCAGAAACCTCCCGTAGTGATTCAGGCCCCTTAGCTCAACCTTCTGACCCCGCCATGCCTCCTACCACAAAAAGCTGGTGGTTGCGACGTCACCCCTGCATTCTTACCCCTGCAGTTGCATGTGAGCTGCTGCATCAGCCATGTTCTTCCCCTCATTGCATGTCACAGTCTTCCCGTTCTTCAGAGGTCATCCAACTTCAGCATGCTGCCACCTTGGGGTCTGCATGTCCAGGTGAAGAGTGATCATGTCCAGTGGTGTGGCACTCGCTGCATCACATCCTGTTGACCCTTATTCTTTCTGCTCACTGCTTGCTCTCCTGGGGGGAATCCGACTCGCAAGTGTGGTGAATTTGTGTTCCACAGAGACTGAAACACGGCCTCTGCCTGTTCTAGCCAGCTGGGAGGGGAGCCTAGGAGTATCTTTATTAAGCTGATGCCAAGAACACTGGTATGGTTACTACATCCCCAGGTCACTCCTCACACACCGGCTGCGCGGCAGCATGTAGTGCTGAAGCGCCAGGGCCAGGGCCTTGCCCACCTGCCTCCTCACTGCTAGCCTTGCCAGAGGCTGCCACCCGCCTGCGCCAGCGTCAACTCTTTGCTCTCCTGTCTTACTCCATCTCGTTAGCCCTGGCAAGCCCTGAAAGACGGATGCCTTTCAGTTTTCACTCCCCAGTCTACATCATCCATTCCGCAGTTGTTTCTGAAGTGCCTACTGTGTGCCGTGTCCCAGAGGCCAGGTACAGCAGTCAGCGGGGTACATCTCTCCCTTTGTGGAGCTCACATTCTTACAGCAGGTCAGACCTCAGGCAGTGGGCTACAAGAAATCATTTTTAAGATGATTCCAGCAGGATCAGCAGTTGGCGTAATGGCTAGGCCGCTGTACTCCCATGTAGTCGACCAGGTTCGAGTCCCGGACCCCGTGGTTTAAACTCACGCCGGATGTGTGTACGTGCATGCCCAAGATCCCGAGAGGGGAATGGAGGAGAAGGGATTACAGCGTGGCCATCCCCCCTGGGGGGTGATTTCTCACTTTCTGTCTCTCTGTCTGTCTCTGTCTTTCTGGCAAGTGCACGCAAAAACATCTCAAAAAAATAAATAAGTAAAAAAGATGATTCCAGCAACAATTGATGTTGGATATATAGAGAGTTGTCTTTGAAGTGTGGGAAATTTTCTCTGTAAAAATAAATGTAAAATTTTGGCATGGTGGTTAAGTCACTGGACTACCACATGGCTGGCTGTGGTTCGATTCTTGGACCAGATGACTTACTTTCTCACTTTTCTCTCTCTCATATGCATGTTTTGTTTTGTTTTCCTTATTTTTTTTAAAGCCTGCCTTGACAGACCAGTGTTGTAGCCTGTCGTAAGGGATCTATGCAATTGCTCAGAGAAGGAGGTCTGTCTCTGTAGGGTCTAGAAGGCTGCTTGAACGATGTTTTTTGGGTGAAAGTTGCCCAGGAGTAGAGGTCCTTCCAAATGGATGAGTAAAGCTGAATTTAGACAGTTTCGAAAGCAGAAGGGTAGGAGAGTCTACAGTACTTACTGCATCTTTGCTCTTCCGTGCCTCGGCACACTGAGTCTGGGATTCGTTTGTCGCTATGCCACTGCTTGGTATGTGCCAGTAGTTCCTCAGGTATGCGTGAGACTCAGGGCCTGGCACTCCCCATGCTCAGCATGGTCTTTGTGGAGTCAGCACTGCAAAGGAAGAGATTCAGATTCAGAGGCTACGGAGCTTGGCTGGGTCCCATGCCTGGCAGCTAGCGGAGAGCCTGGCGGAAGCCGTGGACGCCGTGGCTGGTCCTGTTGCAGCAGACCACGCTGATGGCCTCTCAGGGCCTGATGGTGACATGGACGGGTTGGGTGTGACTCCATTGTCGTTTTTCTCCCTTCGTCAGGAAGTCCTGACTCTTCTGTTGACATTCAGAAGTCTGTCTGTATCCAGGTTTGGGAGTTTCTTTTGTCTGTTTTTATGGTTAATTTTCATTTTGTGATAATGTCATAGTTCTCATTGTAGCTTATATCTACTTCTGAAAGCTTGATTTAAATGCTGGCCTTTAGTAACTCAAAGACAAAAATATAAACCTTGCCTAATTTTAGAGTGTTGTTACCTAGTACATGTAAAGTTTAGTTGTATAAGGTACATGCCTTATGACATAGTCTTTTTATTTATTTAAATTTTTAAAAGGTTTTTGCTGTAGGGCACGTGCGCTTCCCAGACAGAGACAGAGACAGAGAGACAGAAAGCAAGAAATCACCCCCCAGGGAGGATGGCCACGCCACAATCCTATCTCCTCCATTCTCCTCTCGGGATCTCAGGCACGCACACACAAATTAGGGAAAAAAAAAAAAAAAGAGTTCTGTTTTTAAAAAACTCTTTCCAGCAAGCACAGATCTGCAGCCTCCCTCCTATGGACTTTGTTTCCTGCATAGAGGGTGTGCCTGTCTTCTCCCCAATAGCCTCTGTTTCCCTAAGGAGAGCTAAATGCTTCCGAGAGTATTTTAAGCGAAAATACATTTTTGTCTTTATAAAAGTGTGTGCCTCACTGTTGGTAGTGTTTCAGTTACTTGGCTC